GATGTTGCTCCAACGATGGATAGACTCAACTGAAAAGAACAGTAGGTAAAGCCAGAGACTCTAGCTAGAGATCATGAATGGTACAGGACCGTCATGAAATCTATCCAGACCCCCATTTTCCCTGAGATTTTGGGGAGTATTTAAACCTTGGAAGCGAAGAGTTACTATTGAACATCAAAGGATTCTGATTGCTATGCTTTGAAGTGGACAATTTCCAGAAGAGGGGAGATGGGATGTAGGTTTTTTATTTTTCCTCACCTTAAGGACACATCCTGACTGGCTCATAAATCTTTTCAGGTGTATTGCAGCTCCTAAGCCTGGCCTTCCTGTATTCCTGTATTGCAGCTCCTAAGCCTGGCCTTTTGTCTGCAAATGGCTTGTAAATGCAGATTCACCTTAGTGCCTACATGATGTGCTCGCCTTGAGCCCATGGCGATGGAGGCCCTTTCCAGCCTAGGGCTTCTGTTAGAGATCCAAAGGGATCTTGATATCAAAACCCAATCAAAACCACTTATCATAACAACATTTAGTACTGAAGAGTCAAGAATACCTCAAAATAATATGGTTAGATAGTAACAGTCCTTCCCCCTTGTCTACCTATCCGTACCCTTCTGTGATAAACAGATACTTTTATGAATGTCTTTCTAACTTCTTTTCACCAGCTCTTCTCTAGAATTAAGCTGGATTAGTATCCTGAATAACTTTTCTTTCTTCAATCTTTCTTCAATCTAATAAATCCTTTAGATTGCTTCCCCAAGTCATTGGTATCTTTGCTTCTCAACCAGACTGTCCAGCTGCTGCACACACTCTGATCTCACGTGAAGACCGGGCCTTTCCAAAGTTAGCTGTATAATGGGAATGGAGAACACCTATCCTGAGCGCAGTGCCCAGTCACTTCCATTAGTTTTAGTTCATGTAACCATCTAATATAGTGGTATGATTCTGGTAAACTATTCCAAGTTGGCCTTTACTGTTCCAGTGCCTTATTTGTGAGTACTTGGACGCATTGAGAGGGTCATTTCAGAGTCTCCTGGCTTAATCCTCATACTGAAGGATTTCCAAAAGCTTGTGTGTATAACTCTGAGATATTTTAGAATGATGATAAAACTGACAAACTGAAATTGGAATTCATGGTGGCTTTACTATGTCTTCAGCTCATCAAAAGGATTGTTTCTTCATGCACTTTTAGATCGAATAATCTGATCAGATTCCTGCTTATAAACAAAACAAATAGCTTTGTCTCTGTCCTCCATTAGACTCCAGGTCTTTCTCTCTTCCGAGACGTTGCTCTCCAGAAGGAGCCTCTCCTAGGAGCTTGAGGTAAAGATATAATACATATGTCTGTGACATATTACTGAGTGCCTGCTGTCTTATTCTTTGTTTTGAAATGTGGTTTACTCTCTCTGTCTATACATCCTCTCAAGGGCAGAGAATAAGTATGCTCACATGTGAGGCTTAAATCCATTATTATGAAAATTATCTAGTAGCATGACTATAAAACTTAAATTTATAAGAATTACAAATTACAGCTGCCTTCTACTATCTAGTCAGCTGGTATAAGTATCTTCTTGTTAAACATTATTCAGAAACCCCCAAGACGGAATATATGATCCTTTAAGATTAATGAACTCTCCCCTCTCATGTTATTTCCTTCAGTTCTGGGTCTTCTGAAACCCCTGAGGCAGTGGATTCCTGGCAGCCAAGTAAGAGTGTTTCTATTAAACTTAACACATAGTTGTAGCTAAGGTTCCACATACCAACATGAGTGCATTAAAGTAGCACTAGTATTGCAGGCAAACGGCCTTTTCCTAGCTCTCAGAGTTGCAGCATTTTCTTGCTGGAAAAAAGCCCTCTCAAATTCTTCCATTGTGTACATGATGCTGTGTGACTTTTTAGTCTTATGATTGTCATGTATAGTGCCCATGATAGTACCAGGGACAACGAGTGGCACAACTTCTCGCATAATATTTTTAAAGGTTTTGGTATTTGTGTATTGTTGTTTTTGAAGCCAAAATTTCCTCCATTTTACCATTCAATTGTAGCAGTGCTTGTCTAGCTCTTTAATAACATGAGAAGATCCTTGATTAGTCAAACTAGAATCCTGTCTTTCTTAGCATCTTGTTTCTACAATGGTCAATGAGATGCCTCTAGGAAGTCATTCAAACATGTTTGGTTTTTTTGGCAGAATGATGCGAATGACCTCACTCACGCGTTCTGGGTTTGTTATTCACACGGTGGAACTATATCTATGTGCATCTCTGTGAGTTTGGTTGCTCACATGTGCAATCACTGGAATAAACATGGAGTTGACAATGCAAATGTATTCAAAATGTGTTTATCACATGCAGAGTTTAATCCCAAATTTTCCTGGGTCCATTCGTAACAGTTATTCACACTGCCAATGATGTGAATCTTTTTTTAAAACCTGAGAAAAAAAAACCTGATATCGATTATCCTGGGTTAAGTGGGTTTTTTGGCAGCCCCGCAAAAAACTTAATCGGGTGCATTTGGGATGTATGTGAACAACAGATATTGAACCTGGATTCATCCTGGATTATTTTCACTGTCTGACTAGGAAGCCCAATAACTCTCTTCCACTTATTATTCTCAAGCCACCAGAGCTGGGCTTCCCATTTGGCAGAGTGGGGCAGGAATGGGTAGACTGTGCCACCCCCTGACCAAGGGACTTGCTATTGCTACTGCTCCAGAGACCCCCTCGCTCTCCAGAGCTATCCAGACCCTAAGGCAGACCTATCATAGGATTTTTGTGGCATGTTTCTTCAGAGGGGCGTTGCCATTGCTATTTTCTGAAGATGAGACAGTATGACTTGCCTAAGATCACCCATTGAGTTTACGTGGCTGAGCCAGGATTTGAATCCTGGTCTCCAAAGTCCTAGTCCAATGCTCAAACCACTACACCACTCTGGCTCTGCCCCAAATGGGTAGCCACCAACATTTTTTTATAGCAGTGAATTCTGTAACTTAACTATGCATTATGTGAAGAAGTATTTATCACCTGCATCAAGGGTAAATCTCTTGTGAAGCTAATGGATAGTGGGGGCCCATTTTAAACCAAGCCACCTTGAAATACTTGGCATTATGTCAAGGATAGCTCTCAATAATATATTTTTCTGGGAAAATCCATTCACTTGTGTACCCACACCCAGCTACGTGTGAGCATTGCAGCTAGGCTGAAAGAGAATAGGAAGCCTAGAACAGGAATGGGATGCAACTTATGTAATCACCCCAACTAATCCAAACTTCCCAGCACTCAAACCCTGCAAGCCCTGAATCCACCATGCCACTGGCTTAAACTTTGCTCATGGGCAGTTGCTCCTCCTGTCGGTTGCTTTTTTTGGTGAGACCTTTTCATTCTTGGAACTCTATACTAGTAGGTTGAATCGACTTTTTTTTATCTGTCAAGGCTGTGGCTTTCCTCAAAAAACCAACAATGATACAGCAGCAAGAGATAGCTCTTTGAAGGTTGCTTAAGATGGGAGGAGGAAGCCAGTGAGCATTTTCAAACACAGCTACAAGTACAAAGATTGTCTTCTGAAAGCATGCACAATGTGGCCTGACATTTGTTTGTATTGCAGCTGCTTTGAATGAAGAGGAGATACCTTTTGAACCAAATCAATTCAGAAGAGAGAATCAACGGTCTTCTTCCCACACACCCAAACCACCGGATGATGCCCCACCACCACTGCCAAAAAGGGAACATTCAGTGAGTTCTTTGTATATTTCCCATCTAAGTGCTTCCTTTCCTTCTGTTTATTTTAGTGTGACATTCAGAGAGTGTGCCTCTCTACCCAAGATGAAATCTAAAATATTTAAAACATGAAGCAGATTTTGAGGAATGAGAGGTTGTCTGTGTATTGCTTTCAACATGTAAATGAATATCCCTATGGTGCTGAATTGCCATGGACACCTTACCAGGCATGTCATGAATCAGAATTCACCAAATGAGTTAGAGCAAGCAGGTAATAATTTTCCTATTCTCCTCAGTGGCTTCTATTGATCATTACTGGTTTAGAGTTGGTGAAACTAAGTGTATGAATTCCCCCATTTCACACTGTTAGGTCTGTTTCACTATAAAGCTGGGATAGTATACATTAAATACATATCAGTTGCCTTGTGCTACTTTGATTGGCTAGCTAGGAGTAGCCAAAACCACAAAAACATTTTCATTTATTTTATTAATATACATATAGTCATTCCATTCATTAAACATCCCTTCATTTCTGAGCATCTCGTTCTTGCCAGAAGGTTTGTACTTGTGTAAGAAACAAACACTTCCATGTGAGCTACATTATACCTGTGTGCAAACTTAACACAGATTTGTGGTGTTTATTTTTCAGGCTAAATCCTGTCTGCGTCGGGTCAAAGCACTTTTTGACTGTCAGGCTGACCATGAAGATGAGTTAACCTTCCAAGCTGGAGAGATCATTGTAGTAGATGGACAAGAGGATTCCAATTGGTGGGTAAGTGATCATCAGAGCTCCTACTGGGTGAGGAGTTTCTTCTCTCTGCACTGAACCTTATCCTATAGTATAGAGTCTGCTCCAGTTTTCTGCAACATCTATCAAAGAGCTCTATAGTGGGGACCCTTCTTTGTCAGAATAGGTTTCCATGGCAGCAACCTAAACACTGGGTGTCTGGATATATCTATCATTTTTTATTTTTACAATAATAGTTCTGATCAACATTCAAAATCCCTACAATGCTCTGGATGCTGTGTTGGGGTCACTGTGGGAATATAAACAATAGCAGCTAAACCAGCTAACCAAAATTGCTCAGAGCACTGCCCAGAAAATTAATAAATTAATTAAAAGCCAGAATGAGCATCATAAGATGGGTTTGCCATGGTACTGGGATCCTCAGAGCTGCTAAATAATGTTGGGTGTATCCCACATATATGGATAATGAGAAGATCAGAAATACAGTCATTGTGCAGTACTTCAGGATTTGTTGTCATTGTGGACTGCATCCTTTATTTTTGCCTCAATTTAAATGGCATGATGTTCCATTATTATTGTTGTTCTTTGCAGTGTGGCCGGATTGAAGGACAGCCTGACAGGAAAGGTGTCTTCCCAGCATCATTTGTTTACATACTGCATGAATAAAAGGCAGAGAAGATGAAAGAACATACACAGACTTCTTGAGATTTGAGACTTCTGTAATGTACCCCTCACATGCACTACTCTTCTGTAGGATGGTGTGCTGGACCAGGAACTGGGCTCATTGGTGATGAAATGTTATCACAGGGTGCAATCCACATCCTGTTCAAATCATTGGTCAAATATCCACTGATCTGAATAGAAGAGAATTGTACCGAAAGTGTGTTGCATACTGTCTGATGAATTCACTGGCCTCCTTCACTTACATTAATAGCAACATAGGAACTGTTTCTCTATGCTTTGATCCCTCACAGCTGTGGTATATGTATGAATATTAGATGTATATTAGTGGAGCTGATTACATATTGAGGTGGTTCTCATTCAATTTTGATCCAACTGTAAGAATGGTCAGTTTTCCAGGTGGAAAAGCACCCATGATTGAACCAATCTATGTGGTTGTTTTTATATACACTCAAAGACGTATGGCATTGAATCACAGTTTAGCACATATTAATATGCATTTGTGGATGGGATCAGCATGATCCTGTATGAAAAGTGTGCCCCTTTTGTTATTACATTACTCCTTTCATTGCACAGGAAGATGGGTTGAAGTGCACCATATGAACACATTTTCATCAATATATGTACAGGGCAACATTTTACTTAAAATTATGAGAGTGGAAGAGACTAGAGAGCGGTGACTTTCACCTGCCTGCTGGAGACATGGATTACCAACATTGGACCATCCTATTCTGTGCCAGAGGAAGAATAAGAATGAAACAAGGTATATGATAAGATATTACCTGTTGATCCTACAGTTCCTGGTGACAGAAGCAAATGAGAACATACAAAATACATAGGAATACATAGCACCTTCTCAGTTACCTGCCCTGTATTCATGAGCAATCTGACTTTGGCAAACATTCTTTCTGAATTTCAAAATAGCATCCAGCCAGTTCCTGAAGCAAAACCCACCTCTTATCTTCCCACCCATGTCCACTTCAAGCACTCTTGTTCTAATTAGGTATTTTCTTGTTTTCCAGAAGGATCCCCACCCTTCTGTGGGGAAAGAGGACTTCTTGAAACCAGAGGCTAATGTGAAACACACAGTTCAAATATCAAGAGAGGGAAAGTGCCACAGAATCTATTGCCTTTTCTTTTCTTCCCAGTGTATCCAGTTCTGTAGTTATCATTTGTTCTAGGACAACTTAATTTAGACTATCATACATACTAAAAGAACAACTAAAAGTGCTCTAAATTTTTCACCTAGATTTAAAACTTTATTACAATCTCTGATATTGTCTGACGTCTTAGCTTTGTTTTGGCCCCAGGTACCATAGGGCATTTTTTTTATACCAGTTGCTATTCATACCAGTAAAGCCCGTCTACAGAACAGAAATAAGTACATTTTATCAAATAAGATTTTAATAATACTTTGTGTAATGGCATTTATATTTACCTAGTCTTACTAGGAATACCCACTGTACGGTTGCCATTCTTGCTTTGCATTGGTTGCTCATAAGCATCTGTGACTAGCCAAATTTTCAAATATCTCGGTTTTTTTCCATACACATAAGAAAATATTTTGTGATCCCAGATGTGTGATTATGCTGTTTGTTTTCTAGTTCATCCTGAAAATCCTTCTGGTCTTCTTTGATTAAAAATGCTATCCTAAGTTAATGCCATCCTTATATCAGTATTTTAGAATACTGTTTTTCTTTCTTGAATTCTTCTATGTGCCTGAAAGTATCTCTGATCTTTTTCCTCCAGATGAATACTCATTTTGTTTTTTACTCTGTTTTGCTTTCGGGTGATTCAAGTCTCTAATTACCAATGGACCTTGCCAAAAACACATTTTCCAAGTGGTATGTGCAGTCTAAGAACAGGTGGATTTTAAAAGGTGAAGTTGGAAAGCTGGGTTTTTTTATGTTAATAGGAACTTGCACAATTGATTGTCTTGGTACATCCACAAACAAGACATGAGTATCCTCCCCCCCCCACTCATGTTCTCCAACAACCTATAGATAGAGGTATATTGCTTCTGCTACTGAAAGTGATATATATCCAACATGACTACTAGCCACTGAGCTGCCCATCCTCCATGATACAGAATAACAGCTAGATAATAGAATACCATGGTGTGCTCTGAAAATCTCGAAAGACATGTAGAAAGAGTAAAAAATTCAATTGTCTGTAGCTTAAATATAAATATATTGTTTTAATTGAGGAACTCATCATTTTTAACAGTTTTCCATGTTAAATAATCCTTGTTAGCAAGATATGGGACGTGGTGGCTTAGTGATTAAGATGCTTACTCTGACGATTGCATGGTCGGCAGATCTACAGTTTGAGACCCAAGTGCCACATGATGGAGTGAGCTCTCGTCACTAGTCCTGGATTCTGCCAACCTAGCAGTTCAAAAGCATATAAAAGTGCAAGTAAATAAATAGATACCACTTTGGTGGGAAGGTAACAGCATTCCATGTCATGCTGACTGCATGACCACAGAGTTGTCTGACAATGTTGGCTCAGCTTAGAAGCAGAGATGAGTACCGCCCCTTACTTTTGGACATGACTAGACAATCATGTCAAAGGGGAAGCCTTTATTTTTAGCAATATATAGTTCCAAATATGGTGCCCTCCAAATGTTTGTGACTTCAGTGACCCGTGGTCCCTCATCATTGGCCATGTTAGCTGTGACTGATGGGAGGGTGTTGAAGCCCAATGCATGAGTGAGCAGGCACCAGGCTGGGGTGGGCTGTTTTGAAATGTTAACACTGAGGCCTACACACTGTTGTAATGTGTACAATA